GTTTGAAACTGAGGGTTTCTTTTACAAGTTTGCAGTGTTCAGGTCCAGGCTATGATCAAATATTGGGGTTGATTGCTCGTTTTTGTCTCTTACCAGAGCTTTAAAAAACTTCCTTTGGTCTTGTTTGCTTTTCCAGGGATGCTCAAGAACTTTGGGTGGAGCCACCAGATCTACAAGCTGATCTATCATTTCTCCCAAGTGAAACTGCCGAGTTTTTCCTTACTGTAAGCGCCGTAATGGGTGAGAACAGGTCTTCTCCATCCCCCGAGGATGGAATCGTTCTCACCTACTCCACAGTGTCTCTCGTGCAACATGATTGTAAGTAGTGGTGTCAGTGTTTACTGTGTTTACCACAAGAACAGTTTATTTGAAACACAGGAGATAGCAAAAGGAATCTGCAGAGTCACGAGGAATAATCCTCTGGGCATCATAAATATCGTCGAACGTTCAAAACATAGCAATCCATCCAGTATTTGTGGTGACTTCAGCTGCACCATAGTGATGGCTTTGTCACCATGAGATAGCTGGGTGCTGTCCCTTATTGCAATTTAGAGTAATATATAAAAATACTTAAAGAGTCTCGCCACCATTTTTTTTCCTCCTACATTTTGTACACAGATTATGTCATAAATGTTTATAAATGTAAACATATTCTGTGGAAGTTAAGCATGAGAAGAGCTGTGGAACAATATTTTCAGACGTGTTTCCTGGTTTTATTTATTCACAAAAGGCAAATAATAACATGCCAAGAAAACAGCAGCGGCACTGAAAAATGCAGGAGAAGAAGAAAAATGCAGACTAAACTTAACAATGTTCATAAAGTTCTTATGAAGAGGAAATGCACTCAGTGTTCATGCCACCGAGAAATAGTCACCTTGAGCATCATTTTGTAATGTCGCTCGCATGTAATGTTTATTTAAATTTATGGTTCTGTTCCAAGTCACTCAAACTACAAAATGTCCAAGTGGAGGTTAGCTGGGTTTTATTCTCTGTGTGCCTCCGTCTCCAACGTGAAACTGACTAACCGTCAAGCCGTGTTTATGTCTGTTTCCAGGTTACTTGGACCTCCCACCAGTGAACGTCACCATTCAGCCACACGACCAGGTCCACGTCAGCTTCGAGCATCCCTGGCTGTTCTACAAGCCAAAACGCAGGAACAGGAAAAGCCATGACGCACAGATCAGCGAACGACTGCCTAATTTTAGTTATGAAATCATGCTCATGGACCAGGTGAGGCTGTGCATTGCTTGTTAATGACATTGATGCTGTAAATCTATCCTCATGTAATTATCACACATTTAAATGTTGTTTAGCAGAGGCAGGAAATACTGCTACTGATGTGGTGTTATTAGTGGTTAATCAGAAAGCCTGTCTGTGTGTGCAGGGGAAGTGGTCCCATCACAGCAGCTGTAAGGACAGTGTGTGTGAGAGTAAGCTGCCCGTTCATGTTGCAAAGAAGACTCACTGTCTGAAGATCAACGGAGAGCTGAAGCGCATGCACGTCAAGTCCAAGCAGGAGTACTGCACCTCAACATTAGAGGAAACACCCTTTCATTGTTGAGTGACCTTCTAGTTTATTTACACACATACACACCAGTGAAGAAGTGTCGTTTTCTAAAGCTGGCGTCACTGGAAGTGTTGGTGTGATTGTCGACAGGTGGTGTAAAATAAGGAATCTAAAAGAGAGATCCTCATTTATCATCAGTGCGTAGAAAAGGTTCTAAATTCATTTAGAATGTGTGTAACCACAAAAACATTTGTGCTGAAAAGTGCAAAGTTTGCTGCCAAAATCACAACCCACCGTCCTCACTCACTTCACCTTCCAACTGAGATGCCCAGTTAAAGTAAAACTTTACTTCAATTAATGAGTTCTCAACAGGTCAGATTAATGTGACTCACTCATAATGATTGTAATCAAGGTTTTGGCCAAACACTAACCGGAGCTAAAGTTTATTTTGTTGCCACAAAGGCTTTGAGATGACATCGTACGCTCAGTTTGCGGCAATTTATCAGTGCAGCACATAACAAAACCCCCCAAAAAACCAAGCATTTGTCCTCATCATCAGTTGGTTTTGTGCATTTTATTTTAGCTTTAAGACACCACAGTGATGCAGAGCTACTGCTTGTTTCTTTAAGTGCTATTTCACTGTTAATGTATTTCCTTTTACGTCTGTTTCCTCTAGATTACATTTACATTATAGTCGCTGTGGTGGTCTTGATTGCACTTGCTGCTATTTTCTCCATGGTGTACCGCAAGAAGACCCGACCAACTTTGTCTTTACCCAGCGCTATGGTATGTATGCTCATCCTACCAGCTCTGATTTTACCGGACGGGTCTCATTTAACCCTTTGAACCCCAGACAGCCTCTGGATGTTTTCTGCTTCTGTCACATTTGAACTCGCTGTGGACTCATTTTTACTGCAATATGAAGAGCTGCACCACTAAGGAAACAGCACAACCATGACTAGAAGGACAGACAACCCAGAAATGTGTTTAGTGCAGTATAACAAACAAATACCATCAATTGTTTCAACAAAAACAAACATATTTACACATTTGTCTCCGTGTTTGTTCCCCGTCTGTAACACTTCTTGCAGTTCGGCTCAAAACTCTCTGATTTTGTTGAGACGCCACCGCTGACCACAGCTGAGTCACTCATGGCTTCATGGTTGCGCCAAAGAGTGCGAAATATTTTTTCTTTTTCACATTATTTTTTTTAGTTCAAACCTATTTAATTGAAAATTTTTAGACGAGAAATGCAGAATAAAGTGGTTTTGATGAAATATTCCAATTTGAAGCTTAGATTTGTCACATGACAGAGGAGCTGTCGGAGGACTGTCGTAAAGTTTGACCATTTCTGGCTCTGATGACTGGTGTAGTTGTGGTGATTAGTTTTTTTTTTTTTTTGCTCTTCTTTTTATGATAACATGCCTTTTTAAACCTGTGTTTTGGGGTTCTGAGGGTTAAATGGAGTGTCCTCTGTAAAGGACCAGGTTTTTACATTTTGACACTTACCTAACAACTCCTCTTTGTGTCCTAAAGACGTTCGGCGACAAGATGATAAACTCGACAAACCGGACCATGGGACCAGTTCAAGAACAAGTGGATCCGTGTGAGCCTTCCTCACCCACACCTCTGCTGCCCGACCTGAAGGAGGATGAGAAAGAATTCCCTCCTGCTCGTGACTATGACTTGCGTTTGCCCATCGGCGTGTCGCCTCTGGACGAAGGTGTGCCTGATGACAGGGAAACAGGGGAACCGAACGTCGAAGGATCCGAGTACATGCAGGGCAACAACTTGGAAGATGGATCCGACACAGGCTACGAGAAACGTCCAGTGTTTGTTAACTTGGCGCCAGACGAAACGGCCGAGGGCTACCGAGGCTGAGCGTGGGATAGGATCAACTGAGGCAAAACTATCGAGGAGTAAAATTCACTTGGCTTGCTGTTGTTTCCTTATCGGTGCCGCGCTCAACTCTTGTTGCATTTTACGTTGTGCTAACATGCTAACAAAGGACTGCAATCAGCTTTTGTGAAACTATATCTAACAAAGTTGCACATTTCTTGGTGGTCTAACGGCTGTAAGATGAACTAAGTCCAACTGATGACTGAAACCGACTCAGAAGACATGAAAGAACCCCTGCAGCTCCCTCACTGGTTGTGTTGACCTCAAGTTTATCATGTGACGGCTTCATCGCAAACTGTACTGGATGTGAAATGCAGACAACTTTTGTTTCTCTCTTTAGTTTTGCACAAGTGGGGACATTAACATTTGCGTACTAGTCTACATCTGGATTTATGTTTTTCTCTTTGTGGATGAGGAAGAAAGACAGAAAGTGTTGCACTAAATTAGCTTTTAAGTTGGTAATCCTGACTCCTAAGCACTTTTGCATTATTTGCCATTATGATGAAAGTCCAAATGAAACATTGACTGATTGCCAAGTAGCCCCATTTTCTTTTAGCTCTCAGTTTTAACGCTTAGACGATCTTTGGCTCCGCTTATGACAATGCTCGTCCCTATCAGTTTGAGCCAGCTTGTCATGATGAGGCCTTAGCAGTGGAAGCAGCAGACGGGTAACAGAGGAGACGGTTCGATTATCCTCAACAGAGAAGACAGAAGCGGACGCCGTGGGATGAAGAAATCTGAACTATGACTTTCTGCATGAGGTGATGTTCTGCTGATTTACTTCATCGAGTCAAATATAATAAAAATTCAATATCATGTACGGCAAAGACCGTTAAGTAATGTACGTAGAACTACTGAACAATAACAACATTTACATGCGGTTTCTGTGACACGGTGACATATGTGGCGTCTGTTGCATGCACACAAGCATTACTCTGGGTAGTCGTCGTACTGTAACACTGTGAAGTAGCGCGTGTCTTGAATGTTCGCATCTTTTTCCGTGTGAATCAGATGCTTTAGTTTCTAATCAGGCCGGCAGCACCTTAAAGTCACAGCGACAGAGCATCCTCAGCTTCAGGAATGTGGTGTTTTTTTTTTTGTATGAGTGAATGATGCGATGTGTGGACAGTTACAGAGGAGTTCAGTCAAGTCCTCCTGCTTGAACTTGATTAGAATTCACCCTCCTTACCTGGTGCAAGATCTGGAGGAAGAACCAAACAGGAAAGAATAAACTATTCTGTGAAAGTCAAACTAAAACCTTCAAAGACGCCCTATTTCGTACTGTGTAGGACTTTGTTGTCGCTGCACCGTTGGTAGTGCTCATTGGAGGGTTTTGTTGTAATTGATGTTAGATGCATGTTGTGATGCCTCCCATAACATCCCAGATGTTTTATATTTCCACGTTTGCAGTGCTGAATGTGAGAATTCAAGCTGACTGAAGCAACAAGAGGGATATTGTTTTTTTAAATGATGCCAATTATGTTACAGAAAAGTGGTGCTTTTTCCCCTTTTTTCTATAAATTTCTTTATTTTTTTTTTAGTTATTTTTTTGGCCTTTATCTGAGAGTGCAGTTGAGAGAGACAGGACAGTGGGGGAGAAGAATGGGGGGAAGGGAGAAGGACCAGGAGCGGGATTCAAACTCATGACCTCTGCATTGGGGACTATAGCCCCCAACCAGGTGAGCGACGGTGGCGGCGCCCCGTTCTACCGATTTGGATGTGTTTTATACTGTAGTGATCCCAGAGCCGGATATGCTGAGACTGAACAGTTGTGCTGCAGTGCACCATGGGAGTCTGGGGTGATGGGGTTACAAGTGTGTTTATTGAATGTTGTTGGCGTTTCTGATTGATTGTGCTTTTATGGTTCAGCTGGTTGAGATGGGTTAGTACGTGTTGTGTTGATAGCACCGCGAGTGAGACGTGTGGTCTGATGTGTTCCGGCCGCCGCTCACGTGTGTGATATCTGTGTCAAAATAAAAGCCTCTACTTGTGTAAGTACACAGTAACAGAAGAGCATATTTATTGTCATTCTTCTGCATAGCTCGACACATTATGTACATATATAAATGTGTAATGAGGGTTTAAATATGTGATTTGGAAATGTGTCCTCCTGAATAATCCCCAAGCACTTCTTCTTCTTTGATTTTCTTGCCACTGATGTTGCTACTGCTGCCGTACCTTTACATAATCCACATCATATTCCCTCCACCGTCAGTACAGTGTTGTCCATTTTTAATTACTACCTACAATAAAAACGATTCTGTGACTTTTCTGCCTTTTCCTGTTTGTATTTTGGTCTAATTCCTGCTGCTGCGTATCTCTCAGCGTGTGGCTGAGTTACTGGAGGTGAAGGGGAAGTTGGCATTTGAGTGCAGCGAAGCAGCTGCAGCGATATTTGAATTGTTACATCAGCCGCTGTCTGCTGGAACGTAAGGGAAGAAACTCGTATGCCGTGATGTTCTGACATTTAAGTAACCCGTTCTGTTCCTCCTTCTGACACCCGTAATGTGACGAGGGAGACCTCTTTTATGTCCGTCAGCCAGTGTTTCCTTCCTCTTCTTCTGGGCGGGCGAGCAGGGATGCCGCTTTTTCTTTTGTTTCCAGTAACTGATAACAGACTTTATTTTAACCTGTGTATCTATTCTGGGTATGTGGCTCGTCAGGGTTTCTGGTAATCTGCCTTTGATCTGACAGGTCGGTCACGCCTTCAAACCCACCTGAGTTTAAACTCGTTGTAATTGGTCATTTTAAATTTATAAAAGTGTTGGAGCACAAACTGAACTCACAAAATGTCTTTTAGCTAAAATATTTTAACTGTTTATCTCTTTTCCCCCCTATTTTTCTGGATTTTTACTTTACATTTTCAGCCATTTATTCGCTACTTTAAGCATAACTGTATGTTCATGAGCACTTAATCCACTACTGTTGTGACAATTTATTCATAACTAAACATTGTGACCGTCTGTTCTCTACTTTAAGCTGTTTATCGGTCACTTCTTTTAGCCAACTCCCGCCTCCTCCTGCGTTGTCCAGAGGAACTAAGTTTCATACCAGGAAACGCCTCGAGTGAACATCTTCAAGTTATTTGGCTCAAACATTCCCTTGGATCCAATTAGATTTTTGGGTTCCAAAGGTCAAGATGACTGTGAGCGAACGTCTGTCCCGTCCTGTGACTGTAATAAATCAGGAACATGTGGGAGGAATTTCATTACATCTGGCACAAATATCCACTTGGCCCTTAGAATGAACTGAATGGAATTTGGCGGTCGACTTAACCGCGACTTTTCCGGCCATTCAGTTCACGATAAGGCAGGAACTAACAACAATGTTCTTTTGATTTTCTCAGTTTTCGGTCAGTTGTTTGATGTATACAATGTCAGGAAATAGTGAGCAAGGTCTGTTAGTGATTCCCAAAGCCCCAAGATGTCATCCGTAAATGTCTAGTTGTGTCCATAACCCAGAGATAATCAGTTTACTTTGGTAGAGGAGAACAGAAAATCTAATTTAACAAGCTGGAATCAATTCTTAAAAAGTTACTCAAACCCATGAATCGGTTGCCAAAATAGTTGCCAAATAATTTCATAGTTAATCGATTAATGGTTGCAGCAGAAGGGGAGGTAGTGACGCTGATCTTTAACGCCTGCTTCAAACTTGTGGAGATATTCTTTGATCAGAATTTATTCAATTCAATTCTGTTTTATTTATACCACCAACAAAGTCAAAACCCTCGATTTTTTTTTTTTTTTTGAGAGAGAAACCCCAAAAACGTAAGGGTCATTCACTCTCAGATCATCAGGGTCCCTTTGCTCAGCATCTCTGATTTGCTTGAAACTTCTCGTGAATATTAAAAACTGTATCTGTTACCCGTTAGCTTCATGTATTCGGTACTTTCTGAGGTTTTTAGAACGCTGCCCATCAATCTGTTTTCTCGCTCACTGAAATTTGAGGCCGTTTGGATGAACTGTGAAAGATAAAAGCTCGACATCTTAGCTGTTATTTATCATCATGCTGTCGGTTCAGATTGTGTGATGTTGGATCAAAAAAATCTCTGAATATAAAAATGAAAAGCCCTCGTGACAAGTCTCATCTTTGAGCACACATTGAGAGAACAAGATGTTTTCATTTCCTGTAATTTGCAATATAACCATAACTAGTCATTCCCATGATGAAGATACAATCGATAATTAACACAAAGTGAAAACGTGAAGTAGATGAAATGACACCCCTCTTCCTTCCTGTCCCGTCATTGGACTGTAACTGAGAAGAACTTTTAACTGTCTGACAGATTTCCAGTAAACTATTAAATTAATGCTGTGTCAAGCGAAAGTAGGGCAGTGTGTTACGACGTTTAACCGAAACGGAACAAACAAAAGTCTGCTGAGACTAACACGTCCTTCACGAGCTTCGTTTGACGGATGTGTTCATTGGTGACAGCAGGTTTGGAAACATGTTTGGATGTCAGAAAACCACAAATGTAAATGACTAAATAGACAATTTAATGTAGCTGCTTTACGCCCTGTGGGACACTTTCATAGAGCTATTCATATTATTAACAATACCTGTACGTTTCCTTCTACGTTAAACTGTCCGATCATGTGAAGATTCTCAGTCATCCAGGTCGTGGTTAATCTGGTAGATTCATCGTAGCAACTGGACTTGCTTGAGTTCCTTGAAGACGTTTCATCCAAGAGGCTTCATCAGCTCTGACTGACTAGTTGGGAGTTCCAGATGCTCAGATACGAACTCAAGCAAGTCCAGCTGCTACGATTAATCCACCAGAATAATCATGTGAAGTATCAATTCCTGCTTTTACATAATTCAGATGTTAAATGTAATTAAAGGACGTGACAAGTGATGCTTGTTAAGAGAACATGTCCACCTAAAGTCAAGTACTACTAAAGTGTTTTTATTTTCAGGTTTACCTAAACACTGTATATAAAAGGTGAATGTAACCCCAGTGACCTCATCCATTGTTTTGCAGGTTGCCATTTTAAGCTATCTTGTTTTTTGCAGTCAGAAGCGACCTGAGGTTGAAGCTGCACAAGAGATTTTCCAGAAGCACACAACAAACATAACTCACATCATCCTTAATTGAATTGACCTTTTCCAGATGCTTCCTATGATTTAATTGCGATGTTGGTCTTGATTTATGGAAAACAAGCATCAAACTAAATGTATTTACCGGGAGAAAGAAAAAAAAAAAAAAAAGCAACAGCCGACTCCACGTTGCATCTTTTAGCACCACTGAGCACTGAACAAGACAAAATGTTAGAATTAACATTCAGAAATGAAAAACAAAGTTCTGAGACGAAAAACACAAACAACACCCGAAAAACAAGTTCAGGGCTTTTTAAAAGTGCACAGATCCAGGATAGGCATTGCTACACCTCCGTTCTGATGAGCTATACGCCTTAAACATCCTGTTGTATCGTCCCTTTTACTCTGAATGGAATCATAAATAATAAAACTAGCATCATGCTGTGTGGAAGGGGATGTGAAACTAGAGCCCGTAAACTCATTACGAAAATTCACCGATGTCGTAAATCAAGTGAGAAGTAGAGTCACTTTTGTCATAGACTTGTATTCAATCTGACTTTGTGGAGTCGCCTCCTGCTGGCTGTCAGGGAGAATGCAGGTGCTTCATCCAACTGATACTCATACAGTCAGATTAAGATTCAGAAAGCTTTATTTGTTCCCAGGTGGCAATTAAAAAGGCACGAAGAGGAGGCAGTGCAACATTGATGTAAGAAATTAAGTGGGGACAAAAAGAAAAGAAATTAAGATAAATAACATAAATAAAACAAATATATACATACATAATAGTGTCATCGCAACAGCTTTGTGTCTTTTGCATCTAAAAACTTTGTCTTATCTCAGCGTGGCCTTTTTATCTTGTTTTCTGTGCATGTTTTATTTATTTATTTGTTAAATTCTATTTCCTACATGACATTTGTTTTATTGTAACTTTGCTTTAAAAAGGTGCCATAAAAATAAAGTTATCATTTGTTTGGTCAACATTTTACTCACTATATTGGCGTCATCAACACAAAATGACAGGAAAAATGCAGGTCGTGTTCCGGGTAGTGTGAGTTTTTTGGGATTTTGACCACGTTTGTTTTGTTTGTTTACATGTTTGTGACGGGAAAGCTCCAGGACACATGAAGGTGGGGCTACTGGTCTGTCAGGAAGAGCTGTGACTTGAGGGTTTAGGTTTACCAGCGTACACCGGTAAAGTGATCCGTCACTGTTCTGTAATGAAACCTGACGTGCAAATTGTACAAAATGTACTTTTGTTCCCAAACAACAACAACAACAAACAAACAAAAAAAAAGGGACGAGAAGTGTCCTTGTTATGTCAGAGGGCCATAAACGGTCCATGCATCACGGAATTGAAAAAGGGGGAAGTGTCGTTGTGTTAAAGGTAGAGCTGTTTCCAGCAGCATCAGTCCACTCGTCAGTCCACAATCGGCATCATGAGTCGTCTGCTGCTCGGAGTCGTGCTGCTGGGAAACCTGAGCGTCTGCATCATGGCACAAGGTAACCTCACAGATCTTCATTTACACAGTAGGACGTGTGGATTAGTGGTTTTGTCTGTTTCTTGTTAAAGTCACACTGATTTAGTTCTGTCTCCTCTCAGAGTTTAAAACAGAGACGTCTGTGTGCTCAGAACCAGGTCAGAACTGTGAAGTGAGTTTCTGAGAAAAAGCCCAGACCAGTGACAGGACCTTCTGTGTTACACTGCAGCGTGGGAGAGAATCTGTCAGAAGAAGCAGCATGAAATCACCTTTAATCTGAATTTTTAGTTTCAGTCATTTCACAAGAAACATAATTTCTCTTTAGGACACACAGTGAACACGTCAGTGATGTAAATAACCAGCAAAACAAGAAGAGAGACGTGATTGTGTTTCATGCTCTGAGTCCTGTTTCTGACCACTCGGATGACTCGATCTTTAAATACCTTGTAGAGGAAAATCAGTTCTAGTGTCCAGAACGTCACCAGAAGCAGAGTCTGTTTCATGGGAAATAATTCTGGTTTAATTATAATGTGGTGAAAACGGTTTTATTCTTCCTCTATCTGATTAGTTATTGAACTGTGGTGTGTTAAAGGGCACGAGCTGCAGTTCATTCATTCAGAAAGGTCTTTATTCATGAGTTATCTTCTAGTAAATCCTTCCAGAGTCTTTGAGGAAACTTCTTCTTCTGTCCCACTGAACATGAGCTGCTTCACATTTCCATTTGCTCTGCTCCATCTTTAGTTTTCATTTCCTGCCCTCTTCATCTTTACTAAGCAGCTTCTGCCTGATAAACAACTTCCATTATCTCCTCATAAACCCCGGCGGTCCGTCGTGAATCCTCTCCTGTGTTGCAGTGATGCTCGCTCGGCCTGCCCAGGTGAGGTTCAACTCGACGGACTACAGGAACGTCCTGCACTGGACTCCAGCCGCCAACAGCTCCTCGCTGCACTACGACGTCCAGTGGAAGATGTGAGATGTCACACGAACACACACGAACAGTACATTTAAGTTAAAGCTACTTTACTGTCAGTTCTGCTACACGTGTACGCACACAGAGAACTGAAATTGCATTTCCCTCAAACCCTCATTTAAAGAAACACACAGTTGAAAATTATACTAAAAAATATGTAAACTAAACCTAAAATAAGCTAAAAAAGTACAGCCTGGACCTATAAGCTACAAAATATACAATCTAAACATATAATAGGCTACAAAATATACATTTTAAATATATAATAAGCTAAAATATACATTATAAACATAAAATAAGCTAACAATATACAATATGAACATATAATAAAGCTAAAAATATAAGTAAACATAAAAAAGAAGAAGAAGAATCTGCGTAAGGCACATATTGAATCTTTGGTTCTGAACCAGATTTGTATATAAAAACTAATGTGCAGTGAAAACAGTGGAAATCACACAATAAGAAATAATTGACAGTGTATTAAATTAGCTTATATCTGCTGTAAAGTAGCTCAATGTCAGGCTGCTTTAAGTTAACAGAAGCAGACTTTACTTTAGTAAAATTATACAAGTGTTGTCTGCAGAATAAGCTTAAAGAACCACAGCAGCACGTTACTGATGCAACAACAAAGGAAGTGTCTTACGGAACTACTTTATTATCTGTCATTTTAAAACCCATCAGAGCTCATCTGTGAATGATTTTAACCTGAACAGTAGCTGGCATTAAACCTTAAACTATCACATTAAGCAGCTCAACAATGGACCTGCTGCTCACGTTACTGTCCAGTGTTTTCTCGGTTCTTCATGAGTCATCTTGTGATTTTCTTTAAATATTTCACGTGTTTCTAATATTTTCTCTCCCAAAAAGAGACAATAGGAAAGTGTTCCTTTGCTCCCACCATGTTATTCAGTCACTAAGTTTATTATTAAGATCCTTGTTTTCTTCTAAGAAATTCACCAGTGAACTGACATTACTGTAAAAACTCCAGTGATTGATGTGAAGCGTTGGATTTCCTGAATTCAAAGTTCTATAAGCTGCATGAAAGGTGCTTTAAAATAAAGATTATTATTATATTATGATACACATGCTGTATTTACTCCGCTACATATACTTTGCAAACTCATTTCAATCATACAAAATACATTTAAAAGAACATATTACTTAATTTTTCACTTTTTGATTTAACAATATGTATAAGAGACATCATATGTGACACATAAATTACAACAACGTCATTGCTGGCAGCTGTATTAGAATATATGAAGCGTTGTGGTCGATGCGACGTAGAAGTTTGAGCTGTGTGAGACTTTGGTGAGCACATATGGAAGAGGACTGAGTTATTCCTAAAGCTTCTTTCTTAAGCTTGTCTTTAAGCCTGTGGCCTAAATCAACCTCCAGTCTTGACGTAAAGAGACGGCTGCCTTGTTATTAATATTAATTTCCAGATCTGTGTGGAGGTGTAACTGATGAAGGGAGTCTTGATGCATTATTACAGGTTGAGAAACAGTTTTAAAGATGTGCATCCAGATTCATCAGCTGCAGCGTTAAAGTGATGAACGCATCGATCTCTCTCAGTTAAAGTAAATATTAATATTTATACTTTTAATCGTTTTCAATGCTCGGCTGTCATTTATAACTGAGTTCTGCTACTTGTCTGGAGTCAGAGTGCTTCATGCATCACTGATCGGACCGAGCTCCTGATCTGACCCCCGTCTTCTGTGTCTCATCAGTTACGGCGAGGCTGACTGGCTGGACGTGGACGGCTGTCAGGGCGTCCAGAAGCACCACTGCGACCTCAGCGCGGTGACCTCGGAGCCCAGAGAGTGGTACTACGCCCGGGTGCGAGCCTCCTCTACGGCCTCCAGCAGCAGATCGGCCTGGACCCTCTCCCCCAGGTTCAGCCCCCGCTGGGACAGTGAGTGTTTCAACTGTTCCTCCTCCTCATCATCATCATCATCATGTGCATCCACAAACACACAGAAACATGCAAAACTTCAAACAGACACTGAGCAAACTAGCTGTTTAATCACAGCAACCAGGAGAGGAGGGACGTTCCTGAGGTGAGAACACAGCATGGAGTGAGCTGAGCTGTGGCAGGAAGTCCTCGTTTCATATAAATAATGATAAAAACACAAACGTCTCCACCTCACTATCACCAGAACTGACATAAGAGTCTCTATGAACCGAGGAGACACATACAGGACATGGTGTAGCCTGCACATGGGCAAATACACAAAAACAATAAACCTCTCTGTGAAGGAAAAATGACTTTCCTTGTTTGGAGTTAATCTTTTAGAGAAGATATTGAACCCTGATTAGCCTCTGAAGGTAAATGTAGTGCTAGTAGCAGATGTGCGTCCTGTAACTTCTATAGATTCTTGACCTCATGTAAACCACATTATAGGATGCTTTCCCTGCACCTCTCAAGGCCAGATTACACCCAGGCGCTGACTTATCTGTTTCCCTTTCTCCCATAAATCTGGATGTGACTCCCACTGAAGAAGGATATAAGACTAAAGATGTGAGAGGGAGCTTTAGAATTAATGAACTGCTGTTCTGTTGGCGTCACTTCTCCTGAATTCAGTAAACCTTATTTCAACCGAAGTCATCTGAGTCTCCGGTGTGTCTCTCTGTGTCTGGCTCCTCATCCTACATCAACCTCTTCCAGAATTTTCACAACACTCTCGATGTGGAGTAACGGATCTGAAATCATAGATTGATATAAAAATAAAAGTAAAATCAAAAGAAGTGTCGTCTGGATTGGTGAGACAACACCAGTCCTCATTGCTCCTCCACTGTGGGATGCATTTTAATGAATCAGTGTCTTTTTGAACACACACTGTTGAATCTGAGTTCACTTCATACACAGCGCTGGTGTGAAGCAGCTTCACGGCTTCACGGCGCTGCACCAAAACAAAACTCTACATAAAAAGTAGGTGAAGTCCAGGTTCTCGAGTTACTCTCTTACAAAACAAAGCAAAACTTCCCCCTTTTTTTTTTAAAGTTTAAAAACAACAAAATGTGCTTCCTCTCTGTACCGTTGTTGTGTTTCATCACTGTCTCGTGACTTCATCTTCATCCTTCTGCAAATGTGTGTCTCTGCAGCCACGATCAGCCCCCCGGCTCTGAGGCTGAACTTCACCGAGCACGGCGTCGTGGTCCGAGTGAAGCCGCCGCGAGCTCTGGTCAGGAAGCTGCACAGCAACATTCACTACAAGGTCTACGTCACCAACACCAGTGGAGCGGAGGTACGCAC